TCCCAAGCAGGCTCAGGGCGGCTAACAATGTTTGGCACAGTGCGCCAGAATCATAAACAATTAAAAACAATTGAACAATTAAACAGCTCAATAGTTAAACGATTTAAAATTAAAGCGCTCACAGTATTAAATCGCAATGGCGTGCCATGTCAAGGAGCACCCAAGGATCTCAGGCTCTGTACTCCACAGGATGGTGAATACGATGTCAGTTAGGCGGGCCTTACGCCACAGACGTTAATTGTGGGCACTGAGGGTAGTGGCGGCGGCTCCTACTCAAAAGCCTGGCGGAAGAGCTCCGTTTTGCAGGCCCTGCAGAGCTCGTTCCGCCAGTGAGGAGCCGCAGCAAGCCTGGCATCCCTGGGGCCTGGAATAACTAGTCGATGTTGTGACCCTGACCATAGTTTTAGAAGAAGAAGAGAAGAGAAGAGATTGGATTTATACCCCGCCCTTCACTTGGAGTCTCAGAGCGGCTTACAAACTCCTTTCCCTTCCCCTCCCCACAACAGACACCCGGTGAGGTGGGTGGGGCTGAGAGAGCTCTTGACAGAAACGGCTCTTTTCCAAGGACAGCTCTGACAGAACTATGGTTTGCTCAAGGTCATCCAGCAGGTGCAAGTGGAGGAATGGGGAATCAAACCCTGTTCTCCCAGATTAGAGTCCGTGCACTTAACCACTACACCAAACTGGCTTTTAGCCTCCAACTCACACATTTCTGTCTTAGCTCAGGAAGGATGGGGCTCCAAAGCAAACTTATTTCTGCAGTAGCCAGGTTGCTCGCTCACAACTTTAACGCCAGTAGCTCACAAAGTAGAATTTTTTGCTCACGAGACTCCATAACTTAGAGGGAGCATTGGCCCAGAGTAATGCCAATTGGCACTTTGGGGTCAGGAAGGAGTTTTCCTCCAGGCCAGATCGGCCCAAGGATCCTGGAGGTTTTTTTTGCCTTCCTAAAACAATCCGTGGCGTCCCTGGAGCATGAGGGCTTGTGGTTGCGATAGATTGCCCCGATGTGTGCTTGCAGGAGCGTAGCAGGAGGCACAGCAACTGGGCAGAGCCCCAACCTGGTGGGACTCTCTCCTAAGGACCACCAGGGCCCTGCGGGATCTGATGCAGTTCTGCAGGGCGTGCAAGGCAGAGATGTTCCGCCAGGCTTTTTGCTCGAGGGCAGCGACGGTTCCGTCTTGTATGTCCTTCTGTGCTCTCTGCTATTTGCATCTACCTCACCCCCAGCCCCCCCGTCCGTGAAGTAGCCAGCAGTTGGAACGGGGATTGGTGTAAATTATTCGCCATCTGACTGTTTTAAATGTTTTATTAACATTTTAACTGATTTTATCTTGTCTTTTGTTTTCTGGCTTTGGTACATCGTGGCAGGGATTGGGCAGTTCATAAATATAACAAATAATAATAAAATAATAATACCTGACAGGGCAGGTACCAAGTGCTAGACGTACAACTCCGTTTAGCAGGGATTACCCTCAGGGTCGTTGGCGGCAGTGAGTGGTGCCAGTTTGTTTTTGAACAATCCGTGGAGATCCCTGGGGAAATTCCTGGAGAAGGTGGGTTTTGGGGAGAACACAGGAACATAAGAGAAGCCAATGCTGGATCAGGCCAGTGGCCCCTCCAGTCCAACACTCTGCCACACAGTGGCCAAAAATACCAGGTGCCATCTGGAGGTCCAGCAGTGGGGCCAGGACACTAGGAGCCCTCCCACTGTTGCCCCCTCCCAAGAATACAGAGCATCACTTGCCACAGACATAAGAGAAGCCAATGTTGGATCAGGCCAATGGCCCAGCCGGTCCAATACTCTGTATCACACAGTGGCCAGAAATACCAGGTGCCATCAGGAGGTCCAGCAGTGGGGCCAGGACACTAGACACCCTCCCACTGTTGCCCCCCCAAGCACCAAAAATACAGAGCATCACCTGCCACAGACTGAGAGTTCCTACATATACCTTGTGGCCAGTGTTCCCTCTAAGCTGAGTCAGTGTGAGCTAGCTCAAAGTTTTTTAACCTCCAGCTCACACATTTTTGTCTTCTGTCAGGAAGGGATGGCTCCGGAGCAAATTAGTTTATGCAGCAGCCACATCGCTCACTCACAATTTTAATGCCAGCAGCTCACAAAGTAGGATTTTTGCTCACAAGACTCCACAGCTTAGAGGGAGCATTGTTTGTGGCTAATAGCCACCGATGGACTCTTGCTTTATATGCTTATCCAATTCCCTCTTGAAGCCGTCCATGCTTGTAGCCGCCGCCACCTCCTGGGGCAGTGAATTCCATGTGTCCATCACCCTTTGGGTGAAGAAGGACTTCCTTTTATCTGTTCTAACCCGACCGCTCAGCAATTGAGGGATCTCAATGGGATATAATGCCACAGAGTCCACCCTCCAAAGCAACCATTCCCCTGCCCCCCCAGGGAATGGATCTCTGTCAGAGCCAGTTTGGTGCAGTGGTTAAGTGTGCGGACTCTAATCTGGGAGAACCGGGTTCGATTCCCCACTCCTCCACTTGTACCTGCTGGTGTGACCTTGGGTCAGTCACAAGCTCTGGCACAGCTGTCCTTGAAAAAGAGCAGCTTGTGTCAGAGCTCTCTCAGCCCCACCCACCTCACAGGGTGTCTGTGGTGGGGAGGGGAAGGGAAAGGAGTTTGTAAGCCGTTCTGAGACTCCAAGTGATTCTTCTTCTTCTTCTTCTTCTTCTTCTTCTTCTTCTTCTTCTTCTTCTTCTTCTTCTTCTTCTTCTTCTTCTTCTTCTTCTTCTTCTTCTTCTTCTTCTTCTCTGTCATCTGGAGACCAGCTGGAATCCCAAGAGATCTCCAGGCCCCACCTGGAGGCTGGCAACCCTGCTTGCAGGTCTGTTCCTTTGCCGTGCCCACCATCTTGAAGATGCCTGCCTCTTGTTCATGAGCCGCATTTGGTCCCTGTCCTAGAGAAGGCAGCTGCCCTGCGGCCCACCTTCAACAGATTTGATTGTGTCCAGTTCTGATCTATGGCCATTAGAAGTTGTCCAACTTAGCTAGCAGGGGATATTACGGCTGCCTTCCCTAAGGCAAATGTGGGGGGGGGGAATCAGACAAAAATATGGGTCTCCCCCCTTTTCTACTTCCCACCTTGCAATAATTTTAATTAGAGGATTCCCAAGGGTGGGGGGATAGAGTCATCTCTTCAAATCAGTTATAAAACCCGCAGACTTAGTCTCAGCATGTCGTGTCAGCTTTAATTATCTGGGCAGTTATAGCTGTATGTTATAAAAGTCAGGCAATTAGATGCATTCCTTAAAGCTGCGGAGGGAAAAAAAAATTGCTGGCTATCAAGAAGGGGAAGAAACAGAATCAAACATATAACTGTTAATTGCGTCGAGCGTTTGGGAGGAAAAAATGGTGTGTATATCACATTGCAAAATATTGTGAAAGTAAAAAATGATTAAATACATAAATCTGCTGGGGGAGTGTAGATGTCGGAGATAAAGGTATTCTTTCTAAATGAGTTCAAAACCTGTCCAAAGACACCAGCAGCTTCCGTAGGGAGGAAGGAGCTGTAATATTCAAGGGTGGGCGAAGACCACCTCCCCCCCATACCCACCCCGGGGGTACTTTAAGGCTTGAATCTTAAGAGTTGTAGGAGTCCAGAAGGTCACCGTTTCCAGCCCCACGAGAATGGAGATGGCTTTCTGCTGATCGTCCTGCAGTCTGCCTGTGGTGTGATGCAGCGACAAAAAAGGCGAATGCAATCTCGGGCTGTATCAACAGAGGCATAACATCCAAATCACAAGATGTGATAATTCCGCTGAACACTGCATTTGTCAGGCTGCACCTGGAGTATTGTGTGCAGTTCTGGAGGCCTCACATCAAAAAGGACGTGGACAGAATGGAGCGGGTGCAGAGGAGAGCAATGAGGACGATTGGGGGCCTGGAGGCCAAGCCCTGTGAGGAAAGGCTTGAGGGACTTGGGGATGTTCAGTCTGGAGAAGAGGAGGTTGAAGGGGGACAGGATTACTCTCTTGAAGTATCTGAAGGGCTGTCGCTTAGAGGAGGGCAGGGAGCTGTTCCTGTGGGCAGCAGAGGATAGAACTTGCAAGAATGGGTTTAAATTGAGGGCGGGAAGGTACCGGCTGGATATTGGGGGAAACGTTTTGACAGTCAGAGTTGTGCAGCAGTGGAATCAGGGAGGTGGTGAGCTCCCCCTCCCTAGCAGTCTCTAGTCTGATCCCGCATTGAGCAAGGGGGTTGGACTAGACGGCCTGTATGCCCCCTTCCAACTCTGTGAGTCTGTGATTCAATGACTACAGTACCTGGCAGCTGCTTGCACGCAGAGTGGATCGCTGCAGGTATCTCGAGCAAAGGAGCCAGGCTGTATTGTGCACTGCCAGGGAAGAAGGAAACCTACTAAGCTGATCTGAGGGAAGAGAGGTGGGGCCCAGGGTCTCCTTTCCCTTCTCTGCCCTTGCCCCCCCCCACTCCTGCCTCCCTTTGCACCCAACGACACGCACGTCTGTTCCTCCTTCCCCAACCCCCTAGTAGTCCTGCCGTAAATCTCCTCCCGCAAAAGATGCCTGCTGTTCCAGTCCCCCTCGAAAGCTCTGGGAAAACAGGCAGGCCTTGCAGGGCGCCTGCGGTTCTCCAAGGAAGGACCTCCCTCACTGCTTCAGGGAGCCCGTCCTACAGAGCGGGAGCCCCTGTGGAAAAGGGGGTGGGTGCCAATCGGGCCACCCTAAGTGGTGGGATAGCCAGCGGGTGGCCGCCTAAAGACCGTCATTGGCCCACAGGGACATGGGGAAGGTCTAATCGTGGAATCCTTGGATATTATGAGCTGGTCCTGGTTAAACACCTACATCATGTCACTCCGTGTGCATTTCGGAGGCAGTCTGGCTCGAGACCGTTTTCTTCTCTGAAATGTGGAGAGGCCCAAAGACCGTCTGTGTGCGTTTCGGGTAAAGGTTGTCGGTGGCGTCACCCTTGTGTTCTTCACGCCAGTTTTAATCACCCCCCCCCCTTTCTGTTGCAGGCTCCGGCTTCCTCCGCGTCACAAGCCCACCAGCCCATAAAGTGGTCAACACTCGCTACAGGATAGTGAAGAGGACCGCGGCTGCTCCTTCGGGAGCCGCAGCATCGTTCGGTAGCCCTGCTCTTGGCTGGAAGTCCAGGCGGCTCTCAGCATCCAGGTAAGTTTTCCCGAGGTGCTGGAAATAATCGCTCTGGCGGCAGCGGCGGTGGGGGTGGTGTTTTGGTGACCTTCCTTCCACGGAGGCGCCGTCAGACTTACTGCCGCGGTCTGAGCCACAGGAAGGCCTTTCTGGAGGAAGGCAGCGTTTTGTCTTTGGCCATGAGGAAGAGTTGCCCAGAAGGACCTTAGTCCAATTCCTTGGCTCCTGTTGACCATCTTCACCTGCTGTGTTTAGACTTTGAGTGGATGTGTTGTGGGAGTGCCATGGTCAGATCTCTGTACATCCTTTTCTTACTTCAAAGCAGCCGTGGTGGGTGGGTGGGGGCTGCCAGTTTGTGGATGCAGCACTATGAGGATGTGTGTAACCCTTTTGTCGCTGAGGGGGGTACAAATATTTGTTTAAAAAGATGCTTCCAGACTGATCTTACACACTTTTTCTCAGAAGTAAATCCCCCAGGGTTTCGTGGTGCTAGCTCTGCGTGGGGTTGCGGTACCATCCGGTAGCATTCATGTCTTCGTCCGGTAGCATTCATGTCTTCGTCTGGTAGCATTCATCTTTTCGTCTGGTAGCATTCATGTCTTCGTTCGGTAGCATTCATGTCTTCGTCTGGTAGCATTAATCTCTTCGTCGGGTAGCATTCATCTCTTCGTCCGGTAGCTTTCATGTCTTTGTCCGGTAGCATTCATGTCTTTGTCCGGTAGCATTCATGTCTTCGTCCGGTAGCATTCATGTCTTCGTCCGGTAGCATTCATGTCTTCGTCCGGTAGCATTCATGTCTTCGTCCGGTAGCATTCATGTCTTCGTCCGGTAGCATTCATCTCTTCGTCCGGTCGCATTCATCTCTTCGTCCGGTCGCATTCATCTCTTCGTCCGGTCGCATTCATTTCTGTTCCTGGCCTTGCAGCTGGTAGACCACATGAGCGGGGAGAAGTAGGGCAACAGTAAGCCTTTTAGGATGCAGGCGCCTGAGCAGGCGAGTGGAGCTGAGGATGAGCAGTTGCTCCCTGACTGATTAGAGCAGCAGCTGGCGGACTAAGCACTGCGGTCTCGGAAACGGTATTTATTTCTTTGCTTCATTTATATCCCGCTTTTCTCCCCAATGGGGACCCAAAACGACAGACATTGTTTTCTTCTCCTCCATTTTATCCTCACAGCAACCCTGTGAGGTAGGTTAGGCTGAATGTGACTGGCCCAAAGTCACCCTGTGAGCTTTCGTGTCAGAACAGGGATTTGAGCCTGGGTTTCCCAGAGATTAGTCTGATACTCTTAACCGCTACACTACGCGGGCTCTCGTGTGATACTATTGATACTGAGATATGAGATGCTATTGATGCAGGTACTGGGAAATGTCCTCCTTCCTCTCTCAAGGCAAAAATGGATTCAGGTGGGTAGCCGTGTTGGCCTGAAGTAACAGAACAAAGTTTGAGTCCAGTGGCACCGTTAATAAAACTTTGTTGGTCTTAAAGGTGCCACTGGTCTGAAAGCAAAAATGGGTTTGTAAAGTAATTAACAGGGCACTTCCAAGCGGCACCTATTCCCCCCCCCCACTGTGCCCTCCCAACTTTCCCATTTCTTGTCTAAATGCTACCTATTTTTCTGATGCTTTGACTGGTTTTCCACACCCCTTCAGAACCATGGTCATCCAGCCTCAGCTTGAAAACGTTCAGCGAAGGAGCGTCCACCATCATCCCGAGGCAGTCTGTTCCACTGCTTAACCACTCTTACACTTAGGAGGTTTTCCCTGATTTTTAGCCGGTATCAACTCCCTTACAATTTTCACCCATTAGATCTAGTCTTGCAATCCGGAGCAAGAGAGAATAGATCCGCTCCATCTTCTACATGACAGTCCTTCAGATACTTGAAGATTGCAATTGTGTCCCTTCTAAGCCTTCTCTTTCCCAGGCTAAACATACCCAACTCTTTCAGCCTTTCCTCGTAAGACTTGGGTTCCAACCCTCTCACCATCCTGGTTGCCCCCTCCTGGACATGCTTGAGCTTGTCAAAATCCTTCCTAAATAGTGGTGCCCAAAACTGGCCACGGTACTCCAGGTGAGGCCTGACCATAGCAGAATAGAGTGGAACCACCACCTTCCGTGGTCTGGACACCATGCTTATCATAGAATCATAGAATGTTTGAGTTGGAAGGGACCTTGCAGGTCATCTAGTCCAACCCCCTGCACTCTGCAGGAGCATAGCCGAAAGAGAGCCCTACAACATACCCGAAAGATGGTCGTCCAGCCTCCACTTGAAAACGTCCAGCTTCCATTATTGCATCCTAAGATTGCAAGAAGTTCCCCACAAATGACCGTTTGGAAATCACGCGTACCTTAAAGGTTTGGATTTGCCTCGTGAAATTCTGTAAACAGGATCTGGCAACTTGCTTCCAAGAGAGGTGGAGTGAATTTTGACATCAAATAGGATAAAGCCCCTCAAATTACTCGGCGAAATAAAAGAAAATGCTGATATTCCGTTTTAAAGCTGATTATTCAGTGTTTGTTTCAGTTTGGAAACCGTTTAAAAATTAAGAACCAGCTGCCTTATCTGGAAGCTTCTGTCACCAGCAATTTAGTAGCAATCGACGGTGACAAAACAATCGCCATTTCAGGGATTTAAAACTGGGAGGGGGGTGCTTACTACCTAAAACAATTGATTGTCCTCCCCCCCCCAAAAAAAAGGGAACTACTTTATCAAAATTTATGTAGGGTGTAGACAATATTTATGAAGTCACGGGAGGGAAGATGTGGTGTGCACTGAGATAATGCAGACCTACTATAAAATAGGTACAGCTGTCAGTTCCTGGAGGACATCACGTGCAGGTCGCTTGCAGCTCTGAATACCCAAATGTGAAGAAGAAGAAGAAGGAGGAGGGGGAGGGGGAGGAGGAGGAGGAGGAGGAGCATCCCTTGCCCCAGACTGAGAGTTCCTATCTATATCTTGTGGCTAATAGACACTGATGGACCTCTGCTCCATTTGCTTATCTAATTCCCTCTTGACGCCGTCCATGCTTGTAGCCGCCACCACCTCCTGTGGCAGTGAATTCCAAGTGTTAATCACTCTTTGGGTGAAGAAGAACTTCCTTTCTGAGAGAGCTCTGACAGAAACTGCTCTTTTTCAAGAACAGCTCTGACAGGGCTACAGCTTGCCCAAGGTCATCCAGCAGGTGCAAGTGGAGGAGTGGGGAATCAAACCCGGTTCTCCCAGATTCGAGTCCGTGCACTTAACCACTACACCAAACTGGCTCGTCTGACTTGTGGAGTTTCAGAACGCAGCTTGGGTGCGAGTGCGATTTTTCGCCGGGCACACTTTGGTGCAGGGGCGTCAGACGCTAAGGGGCCACCTTCGCCACTCTGGAGGTGCCCAGGAACGATCACCAGGACCTTTCCTAAAAAGGCTGCCCCCCCCCAGCTTGAGCACCTCCCCTTTTGACTCCCTCCTTTGTGCCGTACTCTTCTTGAAACTAGCACAGGCCTTTGCGTTTATTTATTATATCCTTTTCTCCCCCGACTGGGACTCCAGGCAACTTTTAGGACGTCGTTCTCCCCTCCTCCGTTCTCTCACAACAACACCAAGCCTGCGAGGTAGGCCAGGCCGAGAGTTCGTGATGGGCCCGAGTTCATCCAGCGAGCTTCCTTGGCAGGAGTGGGGATTCGAACCCGGGTCGCCCAGGGTCCTACGCCACTCTATCCACTACACCACACTTCCTCTCCGTCCTGCCATCTTCTTGTGTGAATTCCACCAAGCGCCAGTGCTTTTCAAGTCCCAGTCATTTAAGCCCCTTTCCCATATCCTAATAATAAATAAAATAAAACACTCTGTCACACAGTGCCATCAGGAGGTCCACCAGCGGGGCCTGGACACTAGAAGCCCTCCCACTGTTAACCCCCCATAAGCACCAAGAGTACAGAGCATCCCTTGCCCCAGAGCCCCTATCTATACCTTGTGGCTAATAGCCACTGATGGACCTCTGCTCCGTATGCTTATCCAATTCCCTCTTGAAGCCATCCATGCTTGTAGCCGCCACCACCTCCTGTGGCAGTGAATTCCATGTGTTCATCACTCTTTGGGTGAAGAAGGACTTCCTTTCATATGTTCTGACCCGACTGCTCAGCAATTTCATTGTGTTTATAAGGAGCGGGGGAGGGGGGAGTCCTCAGCATTTGCAGGGCCTTTTTCTACCCTCTGTGTCCTCCCTGGGATCTGGTGCGTCCCTCTCGGTGCCTCTGTGGGCCTCTGCCAGGACTATTGATTGCCTCTTAGTTCTTTAAGTCCATTAACGGGAGCCTCCCCCCCCTTGCGTCTTGATAGCACGACCGTCCTTCCTTGCTTACCTCATCCTCCACTGATGCTGCCCATTTATCTGTGTGCCAGAGAGGAGACTGTTTTATTCTTTTTGTCTGTGTGTGTGTGAGAGGGAGCACAAACCTTCTGCGAGAGGCCAAGACAATAAGTGCGGAAGGCGTGTCCGTGGGCATCAAGTGTTTCTCGAAACAGAGCCTGTAAAGAGAAGGCCGGAACAACTTTCCACCCAGTGGCTCCGGGGCTGGCCTCCCCTTCATCAGGCCGGTGAAGGTTACATCACGTGAGAAAGGGGTCCATGTTGGGAGCTGTAGAAAAGAGCAAGAGTCCAGTATCACCTTAAAGACTAACAACATTTGTGGCAATGTGAAGGTCCCTGTGCTGTAGTGGCAGCTGCTGCCACTGAGAAGACTTGCTGGGCAAAATCCCTGCCTGGTTCCTCCCAGTTTCTAAAAGCGCCTGGTGGGCACAAGGAAAGCGGGCAGCAGGCGTCATTCTGAGCTGCTGGCATTAAAGTTGTGAGTGAGCCATTTGGCTGCTGCATAAATTAGTTTGCTCTGGAGCCCCCCTTCCTGAGCTAAGACAAAAAATGTGTGAGCCGGAGGCTAAAAACCTGTGAGCTAGCTCACACTAACTCAGCTTAGAGGGAACAGTGTTTCTGAGCTGCTGGCATTAAAGTTGTGAGTGAGCCATTTGGCTGC